GAGGGCCGGCTCCTCACCCAGCGCTCCTTCACTCCAATGCTCTCCACATCTAATTATAAGATTATTTTATATTTGTTTCGCCCCTGTCACTTGGCAGCATAAATTAGAACATAAAACAATTACGCTTCTTCCTGCGGAGGTGGACAGTTTAGACCCCGCTCTCCTCTTTCCATATTTCTTCCTCCAAATTGCCCATGACTAACCGGGAGGAGCGGCCAGCCCTTCCCCCAGGCTCCCTTCCAGGCGGACATTTGGAGAAGCTGCACTTTCTACTCTCACCTCTTAGGACTGCCTCTTCTCCCTCCTCCCACTCCTGCCTTGATCTTTTAGCATGCACGTACTACAAACTTCAGGAAACAAAGAAGGCTACACAGCAGCCCAGACCTCTCTGAGCCCCAGTCACCTTGTCCTTGTGGTGGCTGGGTGGCTGGGTGGGCCAGACATTGGCCTGCTAATGGCAGGGTCAGCAGTTCAAACCCACCAGCCGCTGCATGGGAGAAAGATGAGGCTGTCTGCTCCCCTATAGGATGGCAGTCTTGGAAATCCTACCCAGAGTCACCATGTGTCAGAATCAAGCCAAGGGCAGTAGGCTTAGGGTTGTGTTGGTTGTTGTTAGCAACTGAGGCCGTGTGTGTTCAAGCAAACATGTAGATGTTTTCCCTATAAGAAAATCTAAATGACATTTCTAAACTGTACTCTACATCAGTGATTCCCGAAGCTGAAGGACATGGAACCATTGAGGGTGGAGGTGGAGGGGCCTGCAGCTGCAGATACCCACACTTTAAATGTTTTTAATTGCCAGCGGAGTATTGAGTAGTAGTAGTATTTTTTTAATTCTGGAAAAGGTCAAATCAGTTTAGGAACCTCTGCTCAAGAGGGAAAAATTGGGGAAAAAGGGGTTCTGGGTTTTTTTTTGATAACTCACATATGGTGTACATGTGCGTTCTGACTGACTGTTACTAGAAAGATTGGGGCTCAAACCCAGCCTATGGCTCTCTAGAAAACCAGCCAACCAACCTCACTGCCATCAAGAGGATGCCAACTCACAGCCACCAGTGAGGACAGGGTAGAACTGCCCACATGAGTTTGCAAGATGGTAACTCTTTAAGGGAGTAGAAAACCTCGACTTTCGACTGGTGATTTTGAACCGCTGACCTTTCAGAGAGCGAGCGAGCTGGTGATCAGCGTCTGTGAAGATGAGCCTATGAAGTGATTTTGCTCTACCACAAGGGGTCACCCTGAGTGGGAATCGGCCTCATGGCAACAGAGTTCTTTAAACACTTTTTAAAAGACTTTTTTGTTGTGAACTAGTTGGGTGGTCTACCTTTCCGACCATCAACTCTGCTCTCACCATTTCACCTCACTCATGGACACCCCCATTAGTCTATCCCCCCACCCCCTTGTTCTCTCCTCTGACGGCTCTCTACCCTCCCTCTAACCCAAGTCAAAGCCTGGCAACCTGCTAGTCCCCTGTTGCATCTTCCCACACTTGGACCCCCCGGGGACCTCCAAACGGGGTTCCCTCTGGTATTCAATTAAGTCTTCATCTTGCTTCTTATCCTTCCAGTGTGGTCTCATACAACCTGTGTCCTTGTGCATTCGGGAGAATACTCTCCAGGTCCACCCACGGCAGGAGATGCTTCATCATTGTTTTTTTAGCCATGAGTCGCATTCCCTTGTGTGTTAGGCACCAGAGTTTCTCTTTCTCTCTTCTACTGATGGGCATTTGGGCATTCCAATTCCTTGCTATTGGCACTGGAAGCGGGGTTTGGGTTTCATGGTGATCCATTCGTGGGCATGTAGCAGCTCTGCTGGAACTTCAGCATAAACGTTGGACTGCTTACCTACCAAGTTGGCAGTTCGAACCTACCCACCACTCCTCGGGAGATGGACGACTACCACTGGCTGCTTCAAAAAATGCTGAGGTGCAGTGATTTTATGGACCTGGCTGTGGCACAAATTTGGGCATAACAACGGTAGATAACACCCTAGTGGTGGGATTCAGGGACGGAGCGCGATGCTGCACAGAGACTTTGGGTTGATGCAGACTTTTGGATTGCCGGCTTCGCCTCCCTGGAAGTTACTCCCACCAGTGATGCAGGCGCGTGGGCGTGGTTTCTACACATCGGAGGGGTGAGAACTCTTCAGTGTCATCTCCATTTGCATTTCTGTTGCTGGGACTGAGCACCTACCAATCGATGAGCTGTCAATGTCGCTGGCTCCTGTTTCTAATGGACGGTTGGCCCCTTTTCTAATTGGTTGTCCGCTGCTTTACTGGGAGAACGCTGTCGATAGGAATTGGCATTGATTTCTTTGCCGTCAGGAGAATAAAGCCCGCTCTTGTTAGGGCCCTGCCTCTCTTTTCAGCCTTGTCTCTCCAGGCTCAGTCCTCCTGCCCCAGTCTCATGCTCCCAGTCGACTGTCTGATCAAAGCAGTCCCAGCATGTGCTACTTTCCAAACTGGGCAAGTGTTTGCCTGCGGACGTCCCCGCCTTTGCTTGTGGGGTCCTAAGAAACTTCAGAATCTGTTTTGTCAATATTTTCATTGCGATTGTGCTGGCTTGGTGGATACAGCTAGGAAAAACGAATGTATTTAAAAAATAGTTAAGTCTTTCTAGCCTTGAACAAAGGAAACCCGGGGGCGTAGGGGTTTACACCTTGCCCTGCTAACTGCAAGCTCAGTTCGAAACTGCTAGCTGCTCCCAGGGAGAACGAGGAGAACTTCTGTTCCCATTGAGAGTCACAGTCTTCAAACCCACAGGGGCAGTTCCCCACTGCCCTATGGGGTTGTGCCGACTCGCTGACCGTGAGTTTGAATTTGACTCGCTGTTGGAATTGACTCGCCGACAATGAGTTTGAATTTGTAACCCCTGAACAAAGAACCCTGGTGACTCAGTGAGTTTTAAGCACTGGGCTGCTAACCACAAAGTCCATGGTTCAAACCTACCAGTTGAGACTGACTGCTCCCGAAAAGATCTACAGTGTGGGAAAACCCTACGCGGCAGTTCAATTCTGTCCTTTAGGGTCACTGTGAGTCAGAATTGATTCAAGGGCAGTGGGTTGTCCTTGGACGCTACAATGCCTTTCCTTCTCTGTCCGAAGAACTTTTATTCATCCCTCAAACCCCAACGGAAAGAAGAATTCTCCCTTAACGCCTGTCCCAGATTCCAGAGGAGGGCTGGGTGGCACGGTGGGTATATCCGGCCATAAACCACAGGCTGGCAGTTCAACCCTGAGAAGAAAGATGAGGCTGTCTACTCCTAAAGTCTCACTTGATAAGAATCATGCTCACCTCCTTCCTTCCAAAACCAAACCCACTGCCATCCGGTGGGTAGCAAAAGTTCCCTGTGGGTTTAGGGCTTGGCTATAGCTTTGCTGGCACAGAAACTGTGGTCTTTTATGCATCACAGACTTGTAAACGTGTTTCCCTGCACAGGCTCCGTGTCATGTGACCCTGTGCCTCTCCTGCAGCCCCAAGTCAGAAGTGAAGAAAGGCGTCTATGTCTATGAGGCTTTCTGGGCCCCCAAAGAATTCCGGTCTCAGAAGCCCAGAGGGGCAGTTCTACTTCGCCCCTTAGGGTTGCTGTGGGTCAGAATCGACCCCAAGGTGGTGCGTGATTTTTGAGTCTGTCTGTTGTTTCTGGCATGTAGCAATTGTGTTTCAAATACCTCAGTCACTAACGCCCATTCAGAAGTCATCTTTGGATACGCACACCAGTGCCCCTGCACATCACAAAACGATGGCCTTGCGTCCAGAGCCCAGCCTTCGGAAGCAAGGTACACACCACGAAGGCTTCATGGTTGAACCATCGCTACGACGCCTCACTGCCATCGAGTCCACGCAGACTCCTGGCGATGCCAGAGGACAGGGTAGCACTGCCACACACGTTTCGGAGACTGTAATTGTTTATAGGAACAGAAAGCCTCATCTTCCTCCCTTGGAGCTGCTGGTGGGTCTGAACTTCAGACCATGCAATTCATTCTCGAAAGACCTAGATAAACACACGCAGGGAGCTAAAAACATTCTGGGCACCTGTAGCACTAGCTATGGAGGAAGAGTCAGGCCACACCGTCCCACGTCCACATCCACCTGTGTGTGATTTTCAGCAACAGAAACTTGACGGGCGACTCTGCCAGGCCCTTTGGGGCCTGGCTCCCAGCTCTGGGAGAAGGAAGGCTCCCAGGGCTGTCATCCTTGCCATGTTCCCTCTGGGTGCACTTTGAGCTTCTCTCCCACACTTTGATTTGGTAGCTCTGGCCACCATTTGAAGACAGGACCATAGTTTCAAAGGGTCTGAAGCTGTGTTGTCTCCATTTCCATCTAAGGCAGGTTCAATGGCGACTGGGTTTGATGGGAATGGCCGGCTTTGGACGGCTTTGTCTGGAAGGCAGGCAGCTCTGCCATTATTGTCAAGTCGCTTTGAAAGTGAATGTTTTGATCAGCAGATGTCACTGAGCCTGGGGAGAGCATTGAACATGGCCTCGTCTGTGTGTGTGTGTGTGTGTTGGCTTTGGCAACTTTTATCTTCCACACCCATTACTTTATGCCAATTGAGTTCTCTTTTTAAAAAAATTCCTTGGATGAGGAAAAGAATGATTCATCCGTCTCCGTCTCCGGTGGAGGAGCCCTGGTGGTGTAGAAATTTGCACGCTGGGCTGCTATCCACCAGCAGTTCGGAGCACCAGGGAACTAACTGCTCCACAAGAGAAGGATGAGGCTTTTTGCTGCCGTAAAGATTTTTTGACCGTAGTGGGCCACCCATTAGGCTGGTCGCCACAAGGTCAGCAGTTCGAACCTACCCGGCGCTCTGAGGGAGAAAGATGAGGCTATATGCTCCCACAAAGACCTCCAGCCTCCGGAACCCCAGGGAGCAGTTCCCCTGTGCCCAGTACAGCTGCGTATGGGTCCGAATCAACTCGATGGCGGCGGGTTGGGCGTGGGGTTGCATTGCTAATTATGATTTTAAACCTACCTCCTTCTTCCCCCTTCCCCTTTTCAGAATTTCGTACCGTCTCTGGGCCGGCAGACCTCCCTGACGACGTCGGTGGTCCCCAACGGGGAGCGGAGCAGCGCTGTGGCGTACCGGGACTTCATTTATTTCCACGCCTTGGAAGGAAGCGTGCGCAACGTCTCCGAGGTGTCGGTGGAGTACCTGTGCTCGCAGCCGTGCGTGGTCCACTTGGAAGCGGTGGTTTCGTCCGAATTCCGCAGCAGCGTCCCCGTGTACAAGAAGAGGTGGAAGAACGAGAAGCACCTTCACACCAGCAGGACGCAGAGAGTGCAGGTCAGGTTCCCCAGCATCATGGTGTACCGCGACGACATTTTCATCCGGCACTCCATCTCCGTGTCCGCCGTGGTCCTGCGCGCCTGGATCACGCACGGGCACGGCGCCGGGGACCTGCGTGTCAAGTGGGAGGAGAACTCGCTCTATGCGGTGGCCAAGAATTACACACTGCTGAAGACCGTGCCGCCTTTTGAACGCCCTTTCAAAGACCATCAAGTGTGCCTCGAGTGGAACACGGATTATATTTGGAACCTGCGGGCAAACACGATCCCCCGGTGCCCTCTGGAGAATGGTAAGTGGTTCGGCTGGCTCGGGACCCCATTCTCTGCTCTGCAGACGGCTGGCGCTGAAATGGGGTGGCCACGGGCAGCGTCCTTTGAGTAGCAGCAGGAGCAGCAAAGCAGGAGAGACAACGTCCGCAGAAGCCTCTGGAACCAGCGAGGGAAAGCAGGAAGGAGGAGAGGGGTTGAATGAGAGAACGGGCCCCAAGAGGGTCATGAAGGGTCCGGGGGAAGGGAAGCCTGGAGAGGTTTAGACCTGCTTTTACTTGGAAAGAGGAGCCCAGGCGAAGCAGTGCTTAGGCGTCAAGGTCAGCAGTTCAAAATCATGAGGCTTTGTATTCCCATAAAGTTCCAGAAACTCACAGGGAGCAATACTGATCTTTCCTGTAGGGCAGTGAGTTATGTTGGAAGGGAGAAAGACAGGGCTCTCTACTCCTATAAAGAGTTACAGTCTCAGAAACCTGCAGGGGCAGTGCTACCCTGCCCTATAGGGTAGAGATGAGTCAGCGTGGACCCGATGGCAGTGAGTTTATTGGTTGGTTTGTAGATTGGAAGGACACGTTTTAAGGTCCTGCCACAAGGGCTGGGGACACCCTCCCTTTCTCATCTCACCCCTCCCCTCCCCTGCAAAGACCAACTCAAGTTTGGGTTGCGTTCAAACCGAGTGTCTCCTGCCAGGGGCGATGGGGAGTGTGGAGGAACTTTGGTATCAGGCAGGGAGGGAGGGTCACAGAGCAGTTGTCAGGAGGGCTTTTCCCTCCCGGCTCTGCCACGTTGGAACATTTCCAGCCCCCGTTTCTTATCTGTGGACCAGGCATAGTCCATCGCCTTTCCCGCCCAGCAGGCCTGTGAGAATTCCATGGGATGCCGTTGTCTGCCACACCAGGGGCACTCAGCAACAAGCGGTGGTGATGAGGAGAGTCCCGACTCCTTGGTGACAATCCCCGCAGGACCCCCACACACAATCCACAGGCTGCTGGGGGTCTGAGGCCCCCTCCGCTGGTACCAGGCCCCAGCCGGGGCACGCTCCCAGACATCCACGCAACATTGTTCAGTATTTCCAGAGTGCATCTTTGGGGGATCTGTGTTAGAATCACTCACGACCCTTGTGGCAAAAGCACATTCCTGGGTCCCATACTTTATCTGCCCAATCAGACCCTTCAGGAGGAGGGACCCTGGAACCAGCATTTTAAACAAGTCCCCCATGACCCTGGTGTGGACCCTGAAGCTTGAGGACTTATGGTGGGACGCTTATGGTAGAAGTGACCAAAGGGTTGGACAAATGGGGCAAAGAGGCGGACTGTGATGGTGGCCCTTCCACGGGCTGAGTCTGGGGCCTCCTAGTCTTCAGTCGGAGCGGTTTGGGGCAGGGACTTAAAGACGCTTGGTTTGCAGTTTTTCCTTGGTGTCACCTGGAGATGGCTGTGGTTATTTTCTGGGTGTGGTTCTGCCTTGGGCTGCCATCTACCAGGCCAGCAGTTTGAAACCACCGGCCACTCCTGGGGAGAAAGATGGGGCTTTCTCTTCCCCTGAAGAGTTACAGTCTCAGAACCTCACAGGGGCAGGGCAGGTCTACTCTGCCCTATAGGGTTGCTGTGAGTTAGTCTTGACTCGATGGTTGAGTTGTTTTGAGTCCCCGGGCATGTCATTTGCTGTGTAGTTGATTCGAAAGCCGGAGCCACCTGAATGATAGCCCTCCAGAAGCCATTTGCCACAGGGCCAGCCCCCGTGATGGGATTTTAAAACCTGTATCTTGAGATGACAACTGACTCATGAGAAATGGCACCAACGGCATAGCGAGTCCCCAGTGCCCTTCACCCAGCGTCCATCCAGGGTAACATCTCGGGTGACAAAACACAAGAGCAAAGCTAGGACCTTGGCATTCACCCCGTACTCTTCACTAGACTGTACACCCTTTGCACACACGGACTTGTTTTTTTGTGTGCACTCACTTGTGGAAGAGATGATGATGATGATGATGATGATGATGATGATGATGATGTGTGTGTATCCAAACCAAATCAGGACCAGTTCGTGTTGACTCAGCTCTGACTCATGGTGACCCTCTGGGTCCCTGTGGGACCTTAGGGTGGCCACCGGCTGTGGCATTTTGGAAGGCAATTGCTAGACCTTTCTGCGTTGCTATTGTTGAGTGTTACAATGCCCGTGACCTTCTGTGATAGAGTAGAACAGCCCCTTGGCGTTCCCGGGCTGTCATCTGCGTTGGGAGCGGCAGATTGCTAGGTCTTTTCTCCTGCAGAGCCTCAGGTGGGTTAGAACCCTCAATCTTTTGCTTAGTGACCGAGTGCTTAGCCCTTGAACCACCCAGGCTCCAGACGTCCATCTAGAGTGCTCTGCCATGCTAGCCTGCAACTTATTTCTAGTCGTCATCATCGTTGTCTGTGTTTGGCTCATTCTGTGTTGGTGCCAGGCTGCAAAGAAGGAGAACATCGGAGAAGATGCCGGAGTGCTGGTGTATTCTGTGTGGGCCTGTTGGGGTTAGGCCAAGACGGGACATTCACTGTGTGCAATCAGTCGAGGGACATGCACTTTTTCATTTGACTCTTTTACATCCATCCGACTTCTCTTGGTCGAGCGTTGAGAGGAGATCACTCAGCCATCTGTCTTCTTAGTCCAGGGGCCCCAGTGGAGATTGCTCAGCAGCCCCACCATAGGCTGGCCTCCACAGACAGTTGTCTCTCGGCTTCGCATGAGGTGCACTGGCCAAGAATTGAACTGGGGTCTCTCGAGTAGAAGGTGAGAATCACCCCTCAGAGCCACCACTGCCTCTCAGGCTGCGGTGCCTTTGATGATCAACCCGCCAACCTCTTCCAGGGAGATGGCAGGGCTAAGCCTGGTGTGGAATGTCTTCCCTGCGAGGCTGATTGTTCTAAGGAGGAAAAGGTGTGACATGAGGCACGTGCAGCCTTCACTTTGCTTGGCCTTGGCTTTTAACCCAACCCAACCCAAACCAAACCCGTTTATGGAGTCGGTTCTGACTCGCAGCAACACTTTGGGACAGAATAGTACTGCCTCCACAGGGTTTTCCCGGACAGACTGCCACATCGTTCTCCCTCAGAGCTGCTAGTGGGTTCAAACCGCTGAACTTGGGTTTGCCTCCTACCGTTTCACCACAAGCCGAGAACTCCTTCCGCACACGCCGTGAGAGCTGGATGATGCCGTTCCCTGTTTGGGAACGAGTGTGTTTCTCACGGAAGAGTGGCAGAGTTACAAGCTGGATGTTTTCAAATGACATGATTTAGGGACAAATTGGACTGAGTCCGTAGGGCTCTGGGGCAGATCCTGGCCACGTGCGACATTTTTCCTTCCCATTGTAATTTTTTCACAACTTCACAAGGTTTTCTCCCCCACCTTCCCTAGAGGATGACTTTTGGGGTGAGAACGAATGTAATAAAAGTTTAATACAGAAAAATACCTTTTCCAAGAGCAGAACGCACTCTATTCACCCGGCTGTGGTTGCTTAATGGAAAAGGGGAGTGCTCCTCCCCTGCCTACCCCCTATCTGCAAAAGACACTGGGGAGAATGCTTGCAATGGTGCCAGTGGGAAGGTTCTAGAGGACAGCCCTGAGGACGGAGGGGTAAGGACACTGGGCCGGTGCATACAGTGTGTTAGCTTGGGTTCTCTGGAGAAGCAAGTCCAGTGACACTTGTATGTGTTTGTATGTAGAAAGAGATTTATATCAAGAAATGGCTTACAGAGTAATTCCAGTCCAGTTCTGTGAGTAGCTGTGGAAGTAGGATGAGGGCCCAGGGGTGGGCCACAGGTTGGTAGATACAGAGGTCAGTGAATCCGAGGTCAACCGAATGAATGCACTGTCAGCAGTCCACTGACGACTGCTGGGATTGGCAGACAGTGTAACAGATCGAGAACCTACAGGCAGGATCCTGCGCTAGCAGAATGTGAAGGGCCGAAGAGAACTCTGCTCTGCTCAGAGTCTCTCTGTTACCCAGAAGGCCACATCTCCAAGGAGGTGTCATCAGGTGCGACTTGATAAACAGGTTGGGGCTCCACCTCTATCTTCACCCAGGAATGCCTAGTTGATCTAAACTCTAACCGTCACATAGAGTAAAGGCTTCTTTATGTGACTGTCCATGAGCAAGAATCGAGACAGAACAACACAGGGGAACAAAGTGGGAACAAAAGTTGGAAGCACAGGAGGAGGGGCAGTAACTGGAAAACAGTGGCTTTGGCAACGGAAATGGTAGCGGAGATCACATGACAGAGTTTTGCAAGACCTTGGAGAAACCCCTATTTTCAATAAAACCAATGGCAAGTCCACATGTGGATTCAGAAGAGGACATAGAACAAGGGACATCATTGACGACGTCACATGAATCTTGGCTGAAAGCAGGGACTAGCAGAGAGATGTTTACTTGTGTTTTATTGCCTCTGCAAAGTAATTCAACTGTGTGGACCATCACACATTAGGAACAGCATGGTGAGGATTGGGGAGACCAGGCCATTTAATTGTGCTCCTGCACAACCTATATATAAAACAATGTGCCTGTTGTTCACACAGACAAGGGGATACTGTGTGGCTGAAAATCAACGTTCTTCAACTAGTTAAAGTTCTTGAATTATGTGCTCAGCATATAGATGGGGTAAGTCCGATGATGCAAACCTTTACCCAAACTTCTTCCATCTGTATGCTGAGCACATGATCCGAGAAGGTAGGCAGGACATCAGCAATGGAGGAAGACTCATTTACAACCTGCCCTATGCAGAGGACACTACCTTGCGAGCTGAGAGTGAAGAGAACTTGAAGCATTTCCTGATGAACACTGCAGACTATGGCCTTCAGTATTGATTATAGTTTTTGTCAAGAAAAGGCACATTCTTACAACTGGACGAATAGACAACACACGTCAAGAAAAGAGGGAGCTTTTCAAGGATTGCACTATGCTTAGGTCTACAATCACAACCCATGGAAATGGCACTCAGGAATCAGACGACATTTTGCACTGGGCAAATCGGCTGCCAAAGATCCC